TTCTACCCATTAAAATCTAAGCGTTATCTCAGATCTATCTATAAAAAGAATGGGAATTATGTAGTAATGTTTGCACCACAAATTGACCCTCTACATGCTCATTTTCTGTGTTAAACAAAAGGCAATTTACAATTATATTGGTAGCTTATCATTAATCATTAGTATTTTTTCACAGGCAAAAAGAACACGTAGGCACTTGCTGTATACCCAGCAGGTTACCTGTTGCCAATAGGCACTCTCTTGTCCTTAGCAAACTTGTGAATGGACCTGTGTAATGTTCCTGTGTGCCTGTGTGGATAAAACTTTACCAGTTCTGTAACAGTCTTTTCCTAGAGATTTTTACCTACTCATATTAAGGTTTTCATCTTCACTTTTTTTCAGTGAAGAACAGCTTTCCTACATATCACAGTATTTTGACAATTTTTCATATTTTTCTTTCTTCATACAAGTTAGCATTAGGAAATAATAAATTTTCAATAAACACAAAAGTATATTTCATATTTTTAAACTGATATGGTTTTTATTTTAGGTTCAGTCAACTCTGTCTTCCAAGATGGTGGGAAAGGTGCCTGGTAGGAAAAGAAAACCCGAATACCACATTATGGGACACACTGGGAAACACAGTACAAAGACACTTCATGGCATTAGCTCAGGTGCAGCAGGAATGACAAGTTCAGGCTCACCATCACCGCAGAACTTGCTTGCAAAACCATGTCACTCACTATACACTTCTTTTGCCAGCACGGAACCCAATAATATATCTGAAGTGTGAGCTGGCTAGGATCAGGAGCAATGCAGGAAGCAGAGCAGAGAGCTCCAAGATCATTGCTTAGAGCTGGATCCTGCTGGTCTCAAACTGACAAACCCAGGGTGCCTTGGGTATCTGAACTGCACCGTTTGCTACACAAAGATCACAGCAGAACTAAAGCACAGTAGTTACACATTAGTTATCACATGGACAACTACCTGAATGCACTCAGGCAATTATAGTATTTTATTGTTTCAGAATGGAGCTAGGAGATTATATATGTATCCAGGATTTTGATTTTTTCATTGCTTATTGCTGGGTCTTGGCACTTTTTTTACTATCATGGGTAAACTCAGGGCTGTTCTGTTCACATAAAAGTAGTTGTATCTACCTGGAATTATGAGTATCCTATCCTAGACAACAGGGAAGTTCTGAGCAAGATCAAAGAAATATTCCTTTATCTTCCCATTTCAGTGGAAATACCGAGAAATTGAAAACTATTAGCAATATATACCATGATACAGAAAATCAGTTTATTCTAGGGATCAGGAACATTCTGGGTACATTCAGACTTGACTTGACCTTTTCCTCTGCTCATTCCACTCTGAGCACTCCGTACAGCTGATAAAGGAGAATCACAAACCAACTTTCTTGCATAAAAAAGCATATTTTCTTTGCCATTAAAAAAAAACCCAAACAAAAAACTTGTTCTGTTGGGTGCAAGAAAGCTTTCTCAGTTGCTGTGTTTCATGCAGTGCTAGTTGTGTTGTGTGCCGAAAGAGGCTGTTCATGGATTTTATGAACAGCCATACTTACAGTAAGTAGGCTAATAGGGAACTAAGAACAAGTGAAAACAAAACTGAAAGACACTGATGGTTTTGTTCCAAGTGCAGTTAAGATGCCACCCTGGGTGTTCCTCCACCATATGGTATAGCATTGCAACAGCTCCACCCATTTCCCTCAAGGAAAATTCAGACCATACTGGTTATGTTTGTCACCCTCCCCGTTAACAGAGATGCAGTGTTTAAAACTCAAAGCTGAAGGGATAATAGAGCCTAAACAAAGAAAAATAGAAAGCAAAGAACCTTTGGCTTCACTTGGTATCATTTTCATGAACTTTAGCTGTGACAGTTTGCTTTAACATCCAGCAATAAGCTTCTGCCATCAAAATCAATTAATTTGTCAAGTCTGTCCTCTATCTGGGAAAAAGTGGTAAGATTACAGGTTTTGGATAGCTACTATTCCCAACTAGGCTTCTTGTGTCATGCAAAAGTAATCAGCTACTACTCTGCTGAACACTTGATGCTACATTCCTCTTTAATTCCTTTCAAATTGGACATTAAACATAAAAGTGAACAGCACATCAGCATTTACTAGCATTAATGTAGTTCCCTAATCCACTTGCTAGCTAGTGAAGAGTTCGCATACTTCACCGTGTCTTCCCACACTAGATAGTAATCAACATGGTACTTATCTTTTGCTGCCCCTGCAGTGTCATACTCTCTTCTTCTTTCCTTGTGACAAACAAATGAAAACAAACCCATATTTCTTTATCTGCACTTCTGTACTGCACAGTTGGTTTCAGTTTTGAGTATACTAATATGCAAAGGAGACATGGAATAGTTTTTATTGCTCTTGGCCCATTTCCTTGATTCTCCTGATTGCCTCTAGAAGAGCTTATTAGGAATTAAGAAGCTGACCCAAAGCTTCAGTGTCTCACTCCAATGTAGAACTAAGCAGAATTAGCCAATTCACCACCACTGTCCTCCTTGGGATCCTATCCCTGTTAAGGAAAAACCCTGGTCTTACTTTATCACCTTACTACTTATTAAAATGACACCAACTCCAATCAGTGACAACAGGCTTTAGGAACCTGCCTAAGTTTTTATGGGTACAGAACTTGGTGATCACATAGCACTCAGCAGGTAAGCACTGCTTCTTGGCAAATATGTGCTGGTCAGAATGACTCTGCCCACCTGACTAATGAATTGCCCATTTATACAGAAAAAAAAATAAAAATTAAGATTTGTCTATTTGGATGTAGAAACATATTTGAAACTTTTCTTCACCCTCACTTGTATTTCTGAGATGCTATAATAACTGTTCCTAATACTTTTATTTTCTCTTGCTGCAATCATATTTCAGTTTGCTGCTGTTGAGGGAAGAGCAAGACTTTGTCTTCTGCTTCTGACTTCACAATACATGTTAAAGGGCCATGCAAGAAGACAGACTTTCAACACCCTCATTTTCTCAGTATATTTCAGCTCTTTTGCAGTTAAGCAAAGAGTGATTTCAGAACCCAGGGAACTGGAGAGAAAGTCACTATACTTATGCTTTAGGGTAAGGCTCAGTATGTCAGAGGTTTAACATGGGCTCTGTAGCCCACATTTTCTTTACAGTCTGATTTGGTTTTACTAATGTGAACACTTAACACCAGAAACTGGTTAAAAGGAATGTATAGCATGTACAGAGACGTAGACACACAGTAATCTTCACTTTGCTCCTGCTCTTGAAAGTGGTCCTATTGGCCAGCTTTCATAAATTACATTCCTTTTTTTCCACCTTACTTTTGGGATAGATCCCAAAACAGATTTAAAAGGGTGGAGCTGATTGTTAACTACAGTGTAGTAGCTCTGCACAAGACAGCATCACATTCTGTTAACAGCTTATCACAGCATTCAGATTTAGAACAGGGAGGGCAAAGACAAACAGGTAACAGCGCAGATTGTTAAAAATACTAAAATTATTCTGAAAGAGTATTGATGGTCAAAAGAATTTCCAACTTAAAAAACAATGTAGGTATCACAGATCTTTTAAAGCATTACAAATATCTTCTATTGAGGACAGTTGTGAATTTACACTTTCTAGTTGAAACCTTCCCTCTCCTAACTACTCTAGCATAGTATCTCTCAACCTGGATGAACAGCCAAATGGATTTTCTTGGTTTTCATTCCATGGGCACTAAGATTTTACCCATATACACAAAGCTTATTAGCTGCCCATAATATTAGAAGGCTGCTTAGCATCCCTAAGTTATTCATATAACATACAATTTTATCCATAACACTCTTACTATTATCTGCCTTGCATTTAATCTTTTTTTTTATGTAAGAACGAGCACTTCAGAATATCAGAAGCCTTCCTGTTGATCAATACAAACCAACAGATGCATAACGCCACCTTCTGACAGTACTTCAACAATACACCGAACATCCACTGCTCCCCATACAGTGATCTTCCAACTGCTGTCCATGGACCTTTAGGAGTATAGCCTATTTCCAAAATCCATGATGCAGGAAAGCAGGTTCACATATACACTACTTAGAATTCTTCGTATGTGAAAATATTAAAAAGGTCTGTTTTATTTCCATGGAGAAATATTTCAAAGTTCACAAGTGAAGGAGGTGCTAGTAGAGATAGGTTTTCTAAGAATATCTATACTCTAGATACAAACACTAACAATGATATCTGACAGGTGCATGGCTTATGTTATAGTATGTTATGCGTGCATCTGGAAAATATATCTGAAGCTGTAAGAGTCACTTTTAAGACTCTGACATGATTTTTCCCTTTTGAGGAAAGCGGTTTTTAAAAAGTGCTAACGCTGTTTAAAGTGATAACAGTTCTTCAGAACTGATACTGCTTTTATAAGCAATTCAAGTGAAACAGATTTTTTTTTCATAGAAAATATAACTACAAATCTGTAGTAGCAGCAGTTTTTAATTTACCAAAAACTGGCATCTATTAGCAACAGAACATACACAAAAAATACCTTTGTTTATACAAATAAAATTAGGTTCTGAATATTCACAAAGTAACATAACAGAGCATTTTTCTTCACATTGGTATTCAAAGTTAGTCAAGATCAGTTGTGAGATAAAACCCCTGTATAATATTCAGTCAAGCACCATGGCAGACAGTGCATTAAGATCTCTCATGAATGGATGATCAGCTAGTATTTGATCAATCTTCTGTCTTTGCTCATAATCAGGAAAAATTTTTATCAGGGCTTCTCTTAGCTGTACTGTTTCTGAGGCAGATCTCTGTGGTGGAATTGCCAGACAAGCCTGCATGTTTGTTTCCAGTGGAAGCCATGTTGATGAACGATCACCATGTACTCTGTTTTTAGGCTGTCGACTGCTACTGGTTGGTTTGGGGACTGGTACGAAGAAAGGTGTCTCAGAAGAATATTGTCCACTGCTCTGTAAAGCCTTTTGTGCTGACCAAAAATCTCTAAGGAACAAAATAAAAATTTTGATTAAATTAGGGTAAAGGAGATGCTAGCTGTCTCTGTACAAACACAGAAAAGAAAAATGCATGTAACTCCTATACACTGCTGCTCAGCTAGCTACTGATTGGTATCAAATGATAAGCATATTTTCAAAGTGAAACAAAACAGTGGGTGTAACAGTTTTCCATTTGAACCTGGCATGACTAACATTAACTAACATTATCTAGGACTAGTTCCAATACGCTGTGAATACTTTACTTGACAGAATACAGCAAGACTCAAAGCTTATTTTATGGCAGTATCAACATCAGTATTATTGAGCTACATGGACAAAAAGATACATTGAACACATGTACACTAATCCAGAACATGTGAAAATAATGACAGACCAAAGGGGCCTCCACATGCTCCACAAGACTATTCCTCATCTACTTTTGCTCATGACTGTGAGCTGTGCTCACATTTACATCAAGGCCTTGTTTCTCTCATGTGGTATCCTTAATGAGGGAATGAAGTTTTTCAGTAATTTCAGGATCTGAATATTCTTCCTTAATTATTGAGATTTATTTCAGGCTTTGAAAAGTTGTTGCTACGCTTAACTGCTAGCACTACAAAATTTAGGGCCAAGACTGCTTCAGATGCCACCAGATAACACAGAAATGTGAACTGGAACTCATGTTACAGTCTAGTTTCTTACCACCAAGGGAAACAGTATCTAAATTACAGAGCTCTATTTTAAAAGCATTTGGGTTACAACAACTCCCATTACTCAACATGGAAAGGCTCTCTAATTGCTCAAGATCCTTCTACTTTCTGATCTTATTCTTGATGCCATTTATGCTTCCTGCATCATTTAACTCAAGTAGAAAAGTCTCAGGGAAGGAACAAAATTAACTCTTTACACTGGCACCTTTTCTCTGTCTTAAAAAACCCCACCACACACCCCCGGAAACCAAACCCTAGTTCCAGTTCCAAGTTTACAGAGAGGAAATCAAGCTCTTCTAGAGTCTTCTCAAGTCTCTTTCCATTTCTACAATCATCACAGTCACCTCTCAGAACACAATCTGTTTTCACTTCATTTTTCTCGGACACCGGCAGCAAAAACACACTGTTCCAAATGACATCTTGTAAGGGTTTTATATTAGAACTTGAATACTTTCTTAGTGTTTCCTGCTGGAGTTCTAGAACTGCACTTGCTTTTTTCATGTCAACATTACATGCTTATTTTTAAATAAGCCTGTGACCTACTGGTATATACATGTCTCACTTGCCTCAAGTTTTTCCAATAGCCAAAATTCCTGCTTATTCTTTATATTAATCCTTAAGCATGCTTGCCTTTTGTATTGCGGATTTTTAATTACCTCACTTGTTTCTAAAAGCTCTCTCAATACCCCTCATAACCATTAGCATTCATAATTCTTAAACTGGTGAAAGAAGAGCAAAGAGCAGCTTATTTTGTTATGCAAAAGAGCAAACGTACTCTCAAGTCTTGGAAGTTAATGCAAAGCAAATTCATATTTTGCATATATGCACATTTAAAAAGTACAATGATCTTAAAGGAACAATCTATGTTAATATTTAAAATTATGAATCAAATACAAATGCATTTAATAACAATGCCTCTCAAAAATCATTTTATTAACAGTACAGCACCATCAAGTGTGAAGTGAAATGCCTCTCCCATGACAAAGAATATGTGTAGAGTGTTTCTTTTGTAGCACCTATACTCCCACTATATGTAATCAACCAAGGTGTTTTAAAGAACATCACTGTAATTAACAGGATACCAGGCTACCACATACCCAAACCACTGACAGCTTTGTGTGATGTTAACACAGTTTGGACCACCTTTGTATGAAAGCTACCACAATCAAATCTCAGAGGAAGTTATTGTCTTACTTATCTTAGTTCTGAGAGAGATCTTGATTAGATGCAAATGTCACCAGCAGTTTCTGAACAGACTGAAGTAACAGGAAAAACATGTTTTTGTTAAGCTACTACATCCTACAGTGTTCTTGCTTAATTTTACTGTACCTTTATAGATCTAAAGAGGTGTTCAAGTGAACCAGGAAAACAGTTTATTTCAAATGCGAAATTGAAACTGTCTCAAACAACAGTGAAAACAGTGCTTATACCTAGAACAGCCTTCACTTCGAAGGAAGTCATCTAATCTAGGTCCATTTCTTCCCAAAGGATCATCAGGAACCATAAATATGTCACCAGCAAAAGTGTACTGGAGCAACCTGCAAGAGACTTCTTTCAATATTATTTACTAACAATGTATTACACCCTCACTGCCCTTCACCTGTGTCGCACAGGACAAGTTGCCTTAGAGCAGACACTTCACACCACATCAGGAGTCACTGAAGTTTAACTAGTAACCCGTTTTAGATACAACCAGCATTCACTGTCAAAATAATTTAATGGGAGCTTATGTGAACTGTTCCCATTACACTGCACTGAACTTTTTTTTTTTTTGACACCAAGTGCTGAATGACTGCAAATTTTAAATTTTTGTAGACCAGAGTGGAATTTTCTAGGTGATTAGAAATCTAGGTGATTTTCTGGTTGTTCAAACTCCCCTTCCTTGTAAGGATCTTCAACCACATAGCTAAAATGTATGTGTTACCAGAAAGCCACACAACTAGCAAACATAGCATTAGCTGTTTACAGTTAAGACACAAAAAAGCTTTTTTTCTGGAATCATTTTGGGACAGGGGGAAATCTGCATTGAAGGAAACCAGTTCAACTAAAATTTGTCTGCAAGGAGAGAATTCGGTATAGTGGAATTTCCCCAGAAGTAAAACCAATAGCAGATGTTAACACAAGCTCTTAAAAAACCACAGACTCAGAATGACATGCTAAGTATTCTTGCTGAAGTTTCGTAGGAGAACAGAACCTGACTTGGGTAGAATTCACTCAAGAAATAGCATAAATACCTACACGATTAGCCAACATCAATTCCATGTTCTCCCAGCTATATTGTGAGAACCCAGGACAGTTTTCAATTATTTATTTCATCAGACCTATACAGATCCCAGTCACTGCACTAGATGTACCCTCAGATGGTGTCAGGGAGACTCTGAGGGATTAGTGGGAAATCTGGGCAACAGAAGACCATACCTTAACAGTGAAATGACCTGATTTAACTGGGGGGAGAACGAAACAAAACAAAAAAAATCAAATTAACTAAAAAAGAGAAACCAGTTGCATGGGCAAAACTGTAATTCACAGAGAATCCACAAGATGAAGCAGGGATATTTGACAGCTAAGTGAACTCATCTAAACCCAAAGGACACTCAACAATTGCAGGGAAATGGCTACAGGGATATGTTGCAAGTGCTCATTATTTTGTTTAGCTATGCTGATTTGTTGTACTACTGTAAACAGTGATTGATTCTGCAACCTTAGAAGTGACACTGTATGTCTGCATCAGCTATCATGTCTCCTTGAAGAAATGAAATGTAAAACAAGAAAGCCTGTGAGAATGGACTGCAAAGTGTATATGCTAACGGGATCTAACACTGAGCTTCAGAAGTGACATCGCTTGGTTGCTACACCAAGTTTCTATTTATGTGAGCAATTAACAGACCTACATTAGAGAATACATGAATAATAGGGACATTAGACTACTCAACACATGATTATAAGGCCATGAATCAAAGTGGTGAAACACAGACAGTACTTTGTTGGGCTCTACCAGAATTGCATAACAGATTAAAAATAAAAAATCCCACATGAAGGTAGAGTGCCTACACTATAGGGACAGACATCCTTTTAAGCTTTCATAGAAACTGAGTAATTACCTTTTTTGAATAATTTCTCTCCAGGCAAGTGATTCTGTCACAAATTCTCTGAAGTTATCATTAGTCACAATAACACCTCCAGTTTTATCAGCAAGGTGTAATAAAAACCTGTAAGATTAATTTCAAAGACTGTTAAGATAGCCTGCTTTGATGAAAATTGTCCAAAGATCTAAAAAAAATTAAGCATTTCACTATCCAAGAGTAAGCTATTTGCATGAAAACAAGCACTTTGATTACCAGGAAATAACTCTGTTTTGACCCACCATATAACTTTATAGAATGTTTTAGGTAGCATGCATTTATATAGTGCAGCAGAGTCTTCATGGGAGGCTTTTTTTCCCATTAAAAAAAACACCACAAGACACCCCCCCCCACCACCCCCAAATCCATGGGATTATCAGATTCTAAATATTTGTAGAGGTAAATGGTTTGCTTTACCAAAGAATACAGCATTTATTACACATTCCAACACAAACTTATTTCCATATACTGTTTTTGCTTAGCATTAATGTCTGTGTTCTGCAAGATAGTGTTATGTATGTTACTTGTTTGCTCTGTCAATACTTCTTAACAAAGAGTGCTGCTACCATTTTGTTGTTAAATAAATTGTGACAAGAGGTAACTACTGATTTATTAAGAAAATCCCACTTTTTCTTTTACCTGTCTGAAAACAAGCTTTTTGCCATTTGAAACTATTTTAGCAGTGGTGTCCTTTTAAAGTGTACACTTTGACGAAAGTGCAAATATGTTAGCACAACACTCATTTCCACAGTAATCTCAACTGCAAATACTGTACCTACATAACATTTTATATGAAATGCTGGGTGTATATAAAACATTAGTGTGTAAACAACTCCAACTTGGCTGCCTTGTACATTTTTTTTGCTACAACATTATTAGTTAAGAGATCAGAGTTGCTATACTTTAACAAGGAAGATAAATTAAGTGCACTCTACTTCATATATCTTTTGCATATCAAGGTTTGCAATCAGGTACGACTGTGCAATCTAACAAAAATAGGCATGCCCATGATGCAAAAACTTGACAATTTTGTAGTCAGAAAAATAAAGTAAGAATCATTATTAGTAGGAAGGAAGAAACCGAAATCCAGTGAACTGTAGCTAGCTGCAAAACACAATTTCAAAGCTGCAAACTGCTCATCCATGCCAATTTAGGAAAGCTGGTTGTGGAAAAACACTTAAGCAGCATGCACTTTTAACTATGTCTCAAGACTGGGAAAATCTGGCAGTAGCAATGTTAAGCACTAGGAAACCCCATGAACACCCAACGAAAAACCCTAAAGCTTACTGTTGTCTCGTTTACTGAAAGATGATCCCTACATTTTGAAGCTGAACTTTGGTGCTCAAATCAACTTGGAAATTCACTAGACTACACATTGTTACAAATCACATGGTATCATACCGACAAGGGCATCAAGAAAAAAACCAGAGCAAAGTAGTACCTGATCAGTAGCTGATTTACGCTAGTGGTCCCCCGAACATAAAAAACAATTCAGGGATAGACTAAATGACAGATGATCAGGAAAGCATAAAAACATTGCTAGAAGACTAGCTTCTTCCTCAATCCATTTGAAATGGATTTTTTTTTTTTGCCATTTTCCATGAATTTCTGAAAACAGTACCTACAATATTATTAGAGAATTACATATAGAAATGCTTCTTAGGAGAGTAACATAACATAACAGATGTAAAGCTCAGTCTTAAGTTGAATGCACAGCTTGCTGTCTAGACAGGTTGAAGAACTAGCTAATACAACTGTTCGTGAAGTTTTAAGCTTGTACAACCATCAGCCAGATGTTTAAAAAGACTTGAGAAACTATGTATATTCCGTACCTGTCGTCATGAGCAGCAATTCTTGCTCCTAAAACCATCCTTGCAGGGGTTAAAGACAATATTCCAACATCCTGCAGCTGTGTTAAGAAATCCTGCTCTGTTAAAACATGAAACAACTGTTCTTAAAAACAAAAGCTTTCTTCTAGGCTCTTTATAGATTTGACAATTAGTCTGAGATATAATTAGCAGAGAAGATGGACTGGTTTAGTACCTAATAATCTATAGAAATGACATATTGATAGCTGAAGAATTGCCAATACAATAAAAATGGGGCGGAAGAGGTTGAAACTAGAAATTAAAAAGCAAACAAAACCCCAAACAAACAAAGAAGCCTCCATTTATGGCACATCAGTTAGCCTAAACAGCATTTTGGAGTGTCTCACACTGTGTATGGAAACCCAATTACTCATGCTCAGCAGCCAGACTGCTCGTGCTTAATATTTTATCAAGTATTCTTTCTCCATTCATTCTTCACAGAAGCATCCAAAGAAACAGTTACAATGTAGTTTGATAAAGAAAACATTGAGAAACTATTTCCCTCACCTGTAATGTAAGGATCACGTCTTGTTCTCCACTGTGGAACAAACACAGTAATATTTCTGTGGCCACGTTTCCAAAAGTAGTCAACAGCTATTGCGATTCCTCGACAGGAGAAGAACTTCCTTAGACCATGACTGGGGGTGAGAAAAAGAGAAGGGAGATTAAATTCACTAGAGTTTTAGGACTAAGAATACAAAGAAAACGGAACAAAACCTTGCAAAGTGAAGCTGGAAGTTACACATAAAGCCACACCAAAGTAAAAGGCGGACTGATGTTACAGATGAGGAATCTTATAAATGGAAACAGATCTTCAGCAAAAGAAGAGAATAGAAATATCACTTTGCAAATTTATTCCTCAGTCTCCTTTCAATTTTATGGGCACAACAATATTTGAGTAATCAGAAGTGGTTTAGCTTTAAAAAGAGGCCAACAGTCATGGCTTCCAAAATCAACTGATTATAGATTAAAATGATCATAATCCAATATTGTGGTAGTTCCAAATACAGTCCCACTACAAAATAGAACACCTTTGGTTCAACTGGTTCCCAACGATTACATCTGAGAAGTTCTCTGATAATTAAGATATTAGGGCCTCCTGTCCCTTCATTTCAACAATCTGAGCTACCGTATTCAACCAAAATAATGAAATTTCTTTGAAGAAAGGTTTTTAAACCACTGTATTTTAGTGGTAATCCCCCCCCCCCCCCAAAAATATAAAATGTTTATTACCTGTTTTTGCAACACAGTTAAGTGACTTTCCAGAAAAATCAGCAACTGCCTAATATGAGTGATACAGAGATTGGAGTTGATGACCTTGTGAGGTCCCCCCCAGTCTGAATTATCCCAAAGATCCTATATGCCCATTTAACACATGGCAGGATGTCCTCCTTTAGCAATTAACTGTCTACCCAGATTCTGGGAACTAAGCTTCAGGAGAATATTGGAAGAATCTTAAAATAAACACAGAAGACCTCAAAAATACCTCTAGAATAAATTCCTACAAAACACCTATTAGCACTTTACATAAGGCTAAATCCAGTTTTCATTCAGAAACTTTTCCCTTCACATTTTCATAGACTAGAGGCTATGCTTAGACAAAACAAAGATAGACTTAGTTAGAAAAGACACACTGAATCAGAACCAATGACATGAACAGGCAAAGCATTTCTTACAAAGTAGTGCATATTCTATGTTTTAAGTTAGATGTTAAGTCACTACAAAGTGCTTCTCATAACACTTAAGTGACCAAGTGATACTCATATTTTAAACCAGTCTCCTAGTTAATGTGCAACTGTATATTATAAGCCCAATAGTAAGCCTTATTAGTTTTGAATAGAATTGTATCTTTAAACCCCTAGTTTAACCTACCAGGAAATCTTCTGAACAGAGAGTTCTTTAAAACATCTCCATGGAATTATTTTACAGTGAAACTCAGCCTTTACTAGCATTCATGTATCCCTTTCCAATTTTGTAAACTCATTTTAAAATAAATATATCAAAATATAAATCTATTAGGGTTCTCTGAACTTGGAGAGGAATGTTTTATGTAGAAGGGCAGGAAAATGAGTAAGCTAGATCTGAAGTATAAAAGGCAAAAAATCTGACTTATTAACAGAGTTTCTGGAGAAAAAAAATAATCCTATGCCACACTTGCCCCAATAAAATTAAGTGTTCTTGACGTCAAGAGCAGTCAAATAAAGGAATGCAATTGTCACAGAAGAGTTACTCCTCATAAACCTTCTAGGTCATAAACTTAAGTCATCATTCCTCCACTTTAAGTTAGGTATCCTATTCAATAAACTAGAAAACTCTGTTAAATACTTTCACTGTATTAATGGCTCTCAATTGGACTTCAAGAGATGCAGAGGTCTCAATGTTCATGTTGAAAATTGTGCCTTCTCTACTTCTCCATTCTCCCGTTTTAGACCTTTAAACCTGCTGAACTACACAGCGTACTCTCTGGTTTTTAAATCTTTTGAAGACTAGAACAGCAGCTCTTGATTTGTCCAGTATGATCAGAGACTTCTGCATTGTAGCAACTTAAAAAAAAAAAAAAAAAAAACAAACAGCACGCAAATAGAAGGAATATATTTAACTTCATCAAATAACATGTAGAATTAAGGTGAGCTATAATATGAATGAATATGTCACTGCTAGATAAACAGAAATATGAAATGCTTTATTTGAGCTAGGTAAACATCTGAAGGGCAGCAAATTATCACAGCAAGGTGGTCTTCTCAAGACATCCATCTCAAAGACTGTATCTGTTCCCCAATTGCCATTGTAAATATTGGTTTTGGCTGTCCCAGTTCTTTAAAACACTACGAAGACCCTACAAAGGTATTTCTTAGGTTAAATGAGAGATTATCATAAGCAGCACAAAGCAGCAAACAGCAGTTTGCTTTCTGGGACATGTAACATTTTCCCTTTGGTTTTTTAACTAAATTAAGGAAAGTACACATCATTTTTACAAACAATTCTAGCAAGATATAATTCCATCCAATTGTTCTTTCATTCTGAGTTACTTCCACATTTTAATAAAATTTAATTTAAAATTACCTGACAACTATCTGGATATTTCAGTCTGCCCTGAGAGGCCTGTTTGCAGCACACAAGAGGAGGCAATTTTTAAAAATACTTGTTAGCAGCTAAACTCTGGGCTTTCTCTCATTCAACAAGCACACTGAAAGTACAGCTAGCATTAATATATCAATGTGCCATTTTTACTAGGCTGCACGTGTCAAGAGGAAAAATTCTTCAGCTTCTTGCAGTCTTCCAGACTTAAGACACAAGGCAAGCAGTGATTCAGAAGCCCATTCAGCCTTAGCCAAAGTATGTGGACAATGCATTAATATCCACACCCCTCCCCTCACCTCCAAAACGCATGGCATTTAGAGGCCAAAAAAATCCCCAAACCAATATAGGCATGGAAGCAGTTGTCCATAACCTCAAGGTACTAAGAAGTAAAACTCAAAACAATTCAAAGCAAAATTGAAAACAATTCTTCACTTTCTAAGATCTAAGAAAACAATGAGGCTTTATTTAGTCAGAAGGAAGCTGCATAATACCTACATTAACCACCCCCCCCCCCCCAATTATTTAGTAGGACATTTAAATACCTCCATGGTCACCTCATTGGGGTCCATGAAGGAAATATTAGAACTTCAGTAATGCACCTGTATAGTTGATAAATATACATATATTGGGGGTGCATGCTCTAAGATTTTTCTACTGGTAGGGGTATTCAATCAAAAAATATTAGGAGGCCACTGCCTACAGTAGTCTCGCAGCCATCAGAGATAAGCAGATGTTTATTCACCATCTTTTAATTCATTGGTTTCAGATGTATTTGGTTGTTCTTAAAAAAGAAAAAAGACACAAAACCCCATGGATGAAATATGCGGACAAAAAAAAAATCTCTTCATATTAAAAAAAAAAATAGACAAAGAGGATGTGGTGCATTTGTTATTTTCTACATGACCCCAACAATTTGCATTTCTCTTCCACTAATACACATTTGGGAAATCATTTTTAGAAGTTCAAGGTAGCTTATGACTCAGTTGTGACTTGCACTTTTACATCACTATTTTCTAAATAACAGAGTCTGAACTATAAGGAAATGTTTGCTTTAGAAAACTATTTACTGTAACTAAACACTGTACTTGAGTTAAAGCAGTGTCAATAGTTTTTGGATCATGTCAGGCTTCTCCTTTAAAGTTAGTAAGACTATAAAATGACAGAAAACATTAATCTATTAATTCAATTAATTCTCCAGTGATTGACCTGAGAAGTTTTACTGTTGCCAGTCATGTGGGACTAGCTCTGGGCTCTTTAACCTGGGGAAATCAATTTAAAAGGATGATGATGACCTTCTTCAGCTAATGATCACTTGGTAGGAAAGGTTACACATTAAGAAATCTTCCAACATTCCTTCTCATAAACAGAAGAAGTTACTTAGATCTACATTTGATGCCTCATCTGTGCTATAGAGACTTTCTGGACTAACTGCAAACAATTCTGTATTACTAGGTCCTTGGTCCTTAAACTGCATTTGAATCTAATCATCTTTAAAAATGTATGTTTTGTTCTGAATGGGGAAAAATAATGATCTAGCAGTAACACATGCAGATACATAAGAGGCCTGCCAAAAAACCCCAGGCAAAGTGAGATATATTTTTATGTGAATTAAGTTTAAAACATCAGCAGAAATATTTCTGAATGAACTACACATCTAGGAATTTCAAGGTATCATCTAGTAGTTTATGTAAGTTCATAGAATCACAGAATGGTTTGGGTTGGAAGGGACCTTAAAGATCATCCAGTTCCAAACTCCCCACCTTCCACTAGACCAGGTTGCTCAAAGCCCCATCCAACCTGGCCTTGAACACTTCCAGGGATGGGGCATCCACAACCCCTGTGGGCAGCGTGTTCCAGTGCCTCACCACCCTTACAGTGAAGAACTTCTTCCTTACATCTCAACTAAATCTACCCTCTCTCAGTTTAAAACCATTACCCCTTGTCCTATCGCTACATGCCCTTGTAAACAGTCCCTCTCTGGCTTTCCTGTAGGTCCCCTTTAGGTACTGGAAGGCTGCTGTAAGGTCTCCCCCGAGCCTTCTCTCCTCCAGGCTGAACAACCTCAACTCTCTCAGCCTGTCTTCCTAGGAGAGGTGCTCCAGCCCTCTGATCATCTTCATGGCTCTCCTCTGGACTCGCTCCAACAGATCCATGTCCTTCTTATGTTAGGGACCCCCCGGAGTTGAACGCTGAAGTTATCAGCAAACAGCAAGGTATCAAAATAGAAATCATCAGGCTAGGACTGTACATAAAGGGAAGAAGTTAAGATTGATTCCCCAATTTGCTAAAATAATATTAACAGTGACACAAGCACTTCACAAAAATAACAACAGAATTTATTATTTCTGTTCTCAAGCAAAATTCATACGTATTGCAGAGAAACAGGAGCAAGAAGTATTTACTATCCCTAATAATTGAGGAAGTTTTGCTATTCCATGAATTTTGTTAAGATGTTTAGGAGTTAAAGTAGGTCTTTCATAACCACAAAAGAATAGTATCTAAGGGCATCTCTGTGAAACTAGAAGCATACATCCACGGTTTTCCCCCATCAACACAACTGTGTGTACATGCACATGCAGATCTGTGTTTACATAGTTACTTCTGGTAAACTGTACCAACTGTCAACTGTCTGAAACATTACATTCATTTTAGGACAGACTTTGACATTATTTTCTTATGGTACATAACGTAATAATTTTTTTTCCTGGAAGTTGATTTTCTTCCCCTAAACAGCATTTAAGCCCATTCTTTGGGAAGCCTCTTTCATCCAATAGCTGGAAGTAGATGACACATGATACACGTATCTTAACCAGTCAGATGTGTTCTTCTCAGCCTAAGAGCATCCTACAGAATTCATGGGATCACTGGTAGTAGTCTGGCCTATTCTTAGAAAACATCCTATGCAAGAATTAGTGACAACTAAATACAAGATAATATAGCTGATATGAGGCTCTTCAGGACTTCCAGTCTCCAAGGTTAAAATCTGTATTTTAAAATAGTTTAACTGTTTAAAAAACACTTAAATAGGCTAATCTTTTCCCACTTTCTCTGGGGATACAGAGAATCTCTCTCAGAATTACTATTGTTTTGCTTAAAGTACTCCATTTTGGTTCTGGCAGCATGGTTTCAGAATGGAAACTGATTTCTGTACTTGGAAGGGTTTATGCATATTCAGCAGAGGAACTCTGAATGCACCAAAAAAAAAATCTTTAACAGCAAGTTCTCATAGTAAGTTTACTCTTACTTATTGTTACATTGTCAAGTGGAATAGAATACTCAGTCAGTTTGTTCTTAAAAACTATCACTTCCTCACTAAGAAGAAGAAATATTGCATTTGTCATTCCTCACTTTCATATTCCAAAACTACAAAAAAGCCCCACAGCAAACAATGACAAAACCTTGACATGCTTACTTTTCAAAATTACTTCGTATAAAAAGAACAAATCCAAGTCTCCTCCTGACTAGAGAACAGCAATCAATTCAAGGAGTTTTGATGAGATAAATGTTAAAATGAACCAAGTGAAACATAAAATTTTAAAGAGATATAGGTTTTAACTGATTTTTGCTATTCCAGTTAGTTATAACAAACTTTAAAAAGAAAATTGTAATTGACAATGCCCTCCAAAGTTGTTTAAAAAAAGAAAAGGGGGGGGGGGGGGGGCAGGAATTTTAAGTTATTTACAATAATGGAAAATCCCTGCATCATAGTCAATAAAAGGGATTTCTTGATCTTTTCAGTATTAACTGTGCCCATTTCATAGGGTTTGTTTGCATGGTGCCTTGTCAGCCAATCTATTAAAATTATCCAACAGCCCTATAATTGTCTACTATCGTTTGCATACATTCTTTCAGGTATCAGGAGGAATAGGAGACAAGGTGTGTGCACACATACACATGGTTCTCTATTCTGCAAGTTTTATGGAGGGGGATGGAATATTTTTGTTGTGTGCCTACATTTACAAAAATTAATGGGACCCAAGCACTAATGTGTAATGTTGTTAAAGGACAAATACATTACTACTCTATAAGAACCTCCACTTCAAAATTACAAGACACTAAGAGCAAAAGTAAAAAACCAAACCACTTTACTCTTAAGCTGATGGTAACTCAACTTCTTTATTAGGTATGTGCAAAGCAAATTAAGTTTCATGCATAAAATTGCTTCCAACAGAGCAGGGCTCACTGAAATTACTTCTGACTGAAGTGTTACATTGAGCTCGAGCACTGATAATTCAAAGTAGGTTGCTCTGAAATGGCACAAATGAGGCTTCAAATTTGACCATTGCCTTGTAAGAAATGCTGTAGAATTAATTCACTTCTCATTTTGAAACATCATTATCAAAAAGGATCTCATCTACCTCTAACATGTATCTAGTTTTAGCTTTCATTGCCTATTGTATTCAAGTTTTTTTCAGATTATTTTAGTATTTGGGCTTCATAAATCTGAGCTACCCATTTTTACAAATTCACAAATTTCTACCAGAGCAGGAAAGCTAAGTCTTAAAAGGCTTTACAGAAAGTTTCTTCCAGAGTATTGTATTTACCAACCAATTCTTAAGTCAAAATCAAGGATTTTCCTTATTGTTTTAACCAGTTATTGCATTTGTTCAACATCAGACTATGTAATTTTTTTAAACCAGAAGTAAATTCTATAAGAATTGTTTCATGATAGAATACCCCACAACCACACCGTTCTAGCTGGATTTGTGTACTGAATTAAGTGTCATATAGTGCATCTGCTAAAAACTTCTGAATTTCCTTCCATGCACAATATCTCAACAAAGAATAGTAACTCCAAACAAGCCAGTCATAAAAATGAATGCTGTCACTAAACAGAGAATAAAAACTATCAAAATTGCTATCCATTGAAAATTAAAATGGCTACGGTCAATCTCATGTAATTTTTCATTATCAAGCCTTACCATAACTTACCAATGTAGCCATTACCAGTAGCTGAAAAACCTTGCTGTGTACATGGACTGTTGGTCACCAAAAAGCTAACTACCAAAAACTTTATATATGCCACAGCAACCTCTTAGTCCCCATTTCATTTGAAAGTTCATTGAACTTTTAATAAAGAGATAACTGAAAAGAACAATACTTACGAAATTGCAACATTGCTTCCATCAATAATGATATGTTTTAAATATGGTTTCCCTGGTTCATTTTTCAATTCCAATCTGTATGGCTTTTTCAGAGATTCCAAAAATCTTTGAACTCCAGTAACTGAAGGATCAGGATGACATCTGTGTGGTCCCACTGTCTCTCTAACAGGATTTGAAGGATGTATTTGTGAAGACAATACCTGGTCTGGTATAGGATTTTCAGAATTTGAGGTTTGGGAAAGGTGTTGGTTGAGAGATCTTACTTGAGAAGAGCTGCAGTGTCCTAATTGGTCCTCAAAACCAGGATGACTATTCTGTACAGTTGAGGGCCCTGCAGATTTTTGCTGAACTGCAGTTTTAGTCTTAGGTAAAATACGCTGCATATCTGAGCTCCCTCTGGCTACAAAATCAACATCTTTTAGAGCTCCAGCTTGTACAGAGCTGAAAGTTAGACCACCATCAGTTTCTATATCACTTGACCTTGAACTGAGATTCCTACCAGGGCAATAAATGTCTCTTTGTTGATAGCACATGGCTGAATTTTTACTGGAACGAGAAGCAGGTCTGCATACCAACATATGCATTTTATCTTCTTCATCAACTTGCATGTTTGGTGCGTCTCTTATTTTGTGATACTTATTTTTTGTCTCCTTTGAAGTATGACTGGATTTAAATGGACTTTTATTGCTAGAAATGCCTTTGTCTTCTAGCTTTTGTGAATTATTTGCATTATTTCCCAAAGGAGGATTGATAGTTCTAGGCTTTTGAGATGACTGTTCCTGTTCTTTTTGAAATTTTAAATTTTCCTTTTCGATTTCTTCTAGCAACGTTAATGGTTCCACAGATTGTCCTAGGATACCAATAACTTTTTCTACAATATTTTGGGAATATCCCATTGTTCTGAAAAAGTTAACAAGGATCTTATATTCCATTTCCTCATTGATATCTTCACCTTCTTTAAGGCAATAACTGGGTTCATCTGATTCACTGCAGCTATCCAAAAGCAGATCAATAACTACATTGCTGTCTGAAGGATTACTGTGTGAAGGAGATTTCACTTCCTGATCATTTTCCAAAGAGAATTGCTTTTTAGGGAGCCTTTCCTCATCATCAGAAGATCTTCTTTTACATGATTGCCTTTCTTTAGACACCACTGCCTCTAACAGAGGCACAACATTTATAGGAATAAAACTTGTTTCAGGAGCATCAGAAAACACAGTGTCCATTTGCTTTGTAAGCTCAGTTACAGGTGTCCCAGCATTGTTTCTTGCTTCCTCACCACCTGCTCTTCCACCTCTGTTTGTAGCGATTACTTTGGAGGCTTTGTTCTGTAAAAGCTCTGTTGAGCTGTCAGAACCTGTAAGATCTATGATATTGCTCTCCACTTCACAACATTCCATTTGTGTGAGAGCTAGGAGTTCTCTTTTTAGTGAGCTAGGCAAAATCAGTAAATCCATTGTATATTTATCTGCATGTGCTTCCACAAACTGTCTGAATTGCTTTTTAATCTCCGATTCATTGTCACTTAATAAGCTTTCATTATTCTCGAAAAGCTTCACAAGCTGCTGAACATGACTCTGAGCCATGACAACAGCTTCTGCACCCCCCTTAATACTGAGCAATCCTATTTCCAGCACTGTTATATCCGCACAGGTGTCCTGAATAAGGCTGTTGAGAAACAGGCTCTGTGCACCAACAAAGATGCAGTGCATGTCCTTTGGATAGCACTCCTTTTCTTCTAGTTCAGGTTCACAGAGTCCCTTAATATACTCCTAGAAGGAGAAAAAGACAGCAGAGTGAATATTTGTGAACAGCTAATGTATAAAGTTAGTTTTGGTTAGGTCAGTAATGGACAAGTACTTTAGAAAATAAAGCCAATTTAGCATAACAAATGTGAGAAAGTAAATACTGCCAGTAAACTGGTTAATAGAGATAAAATACAAATAATCTGAAATTATTTTTAAATAGATCTCATAGAAGGCTAACTTTCTTTTATATCCTATTGTTTATAAATAAATTTACTTAAATACTCTGTTACTATCAGTTTCAAGTTGTAGCTCAAACAGTTTGAAAGACAAGTCAAAAGCGATTTATTTTCCCATCCCCATTCCTTGGTCAAAGAGAACATGCTTCATGAACAAATGCCTTGCACTAGAGAATTCTACCTAGTCCGTAAAACTGAACTTCTGAAAACAATTTCTAAAGATGATTTGCAAAGGCTCATCACAGCAGTAGCTATCCTATATATTTAAGTTGTTATAATGTGTTACTTATTCTATACTTACTACCCAAAATCAAGGACATCAATCCTGTGGCATGGCACAACAGAACTAGTATCCATTAAGATATCCGTTAGAAAAAAAATAATGCTAAAACCAAACAAATGACAAAACCACTATCTGGACTCTGATAAGATTCCCTTACTAACCAAATAAAACATTCATATTTTAAAACTACAACTGCCAGAGCACCTACTTAAAATGGGTATATAACACCAAAGAAAATCACACCCAAAAAGCTCAATATCAAGCAGCTTTCCACATGGGGCTTTGAAACTCATTATTTTGAAAAAGCAGATGATACTGACAAACGACTGAGAAAACTCCAGGCTCCAGATAGTTCTGTGTCCCAGAAGTTCAGGTTTTTAATAGATAAAAGAAAAAAAAAAATCCCATTGCTATTTCTGCCACCTAGAAGTTAATATAGGTAAATTCACTACACTGCCTTGTTTTAAATGTGCCAGAGTTCAGAACTCTGTCAATACAGTATACTATTTCTTCTTTCAGGTGGCATTATTTTTCCCCAAATTGTCTCTTTCCATGCTTAAAATTCTATAATGTAGAGAAACCAGTTTCTAAACTGCAGTCGTTGTATTTGCACACTCCCAAGTATACCAAATTTTATTATCTCTCTTTACTCTCAGAAGCTAAACTTCTCTTTTAAATGGAACTGAAACCCAATAGAAGGTAATGAATAACATAACACCACTTCCTATCACCTCTTGAGTTACATCACCAAAAGCATCACGGCAGGCTGCTTCAAGACCATATTAGCACAAACTGCTTCTGCAACAAAATCCACAGGATTACTTTTCATGCCTTAGTCATCATATGACTGCTTTTGCAGAGCAACAGGACAGTAACATAATCAGAAAGAAGGATATTAAAAATCCGGGAACTTTTTTTTCCCCCCACATTTACTAAGCAGCACTTAAGAATGAATACATTGTGCGTGACTGATGAATTAAAACACAAATTGCTGTCACCAAACCTTTTAAAGGGAGACAATAGAGACATGCAATTGTTTGTACTTTCTAGTCAATAATCCCTCCAGATAGGGTCTGAAAATTGCTGTACATGTAAGGGACAAGTCTCCCATACCCTTTAAAGTATGTGGAGTAGGAAACATTTTGTATGTTATTAGGAAAAGCAGCAATGAGAAAATGGAAATCTTGTGCTGCTTGTTTCAGGCTTTAATTTTCTGGAAAAAAAGCAAGCTGTACTGCAGCTGCCTGGAGAAGATGAATAGCTGTTTATGATACCTGTAACAGCTTCTGGAGTCTCTGAGCCCACATATGCAAGCAAATTGGCTTAAAATCAATTTCAGAGTCAAATAATTAAAAAACCTCAACAGTCATAGTATTTTCCTTCTAAGTCTGATACATTACACAGTTAAGGAATCAAGTTTTTCAAAGTGGACTGCCAAGTCTGTGAATTAAGTCACAACATATATGCTAAGTAACCCTGCTAACATATACATGTATTTAAACAAATAAACAAGCAGACACAATTGCCCACTTACTGAGATTTTTGTTTTGAAAGCTACCTTCAGCCTAGCTAGTGCTCACACTACCATTCTCATCACATGATTCAAACACCTATAGTTGCCAGGTCCACTATAAGCAATATGAATTTCATCATTCCTGCCGAGCCCCCCCAAGGTTAGTTGTAAAAGAGTTTTTAACAAAGTAATTCTGTGAAGATACTTCACAGCAACTAGTGTCACAGTCAGAGACACAAACACCTTAGAGGGCCCTGTCTTTTAACGTGTGTAGTGTTTGGTTAAAAAGAAAGCTATCTGCTCCAGCAAACAGACTGGCGAAGCAGTCTGGATCTGCCAACTTTTACACCAAGGAAATATTAGCTCTGTTAAGCTGTTAGTGAGAGCTTTGCTAATAAGCTAGTAAATGCCACAGAATAAATCAAATCTGTAATGCAACTGTGAAACATGGCAACACCCAACCAACCCCGAAGAATTTCCTGACTTCGGGAAGGAAAAGGAGAGCGATACATCTTAATCGCGCTTTAAACCAGAACTTGGCCCATCCTCACAGGTGTTACAACCCCTCAGCAGACGGCAGTAGTATCTCACAACGTGGGGACCGTAACGCCCTCTGCAATCCCGACGACCTTTGCACTTCTCAGCTGAATCGTTTCTCATTATTATCTACGCTTATGTCAACACCACCGGAGACACCCTGGCACCTGGAACACACCTATTTGCCAAGGCAGGTCCGTTTCTGTTTCCTGGTGAAGCACTCTTCCCCCACCCTTTCTTGCTCCTACCCGCACGCAGCGGCCCCGCGCCGTGCCCCGGGAGAGGGGGGCCTTGCCGTACGCAAACACAGCCCCAGGCTCCGTCCGGGTGAACCCGGCCCCAGCGCTTCCCGCCCTGCCCCCGGCCCCCCGTACCTTGGCGCTGCGCACGGCCTTCCCACCGCCCGCCAGCTGCACCCAGATCCTGGCGGCGGCGGGCGGCGGGCCTGGCGGCGGGATCGCGGGCCGCCAGTCCCCCTGCGCCCCCAGCACGGCCAGCCGCACCTCGAACAAGCCCTCGATGCGGCCCCGGCTCCCCTCCAGGAGGCGGCTCTTCTCCGCAGGGACGGTGAATTCGTCCACCCCCGCGGGCTCGGAGCCGCGGGCTGCCCAGCGAGCCGCCATCAGCGCCGGCCGCGCCGCCCCGCGCTCCGGCCTCCCATCCCTCCGGGCCCCAGGACAACAACACGGGGAATCCCCAGGCTCCCTTCGCACGGCGCGCGGACGTCATCTGCCGGCGCCCCGCGCCAGGAGGCGGGGAGCGCCCCTCCGCAGCCACGGCGCCATCTTTAGCAAGGGCGGCCGAAGCGCTCCTCCGTAGGTCGGGCTTCGTTCCGCCTTTCGGCGGGATGGGCAGCTTGTGGCGGGGCCCGGAGCGGTGCGAAGGCCGAGCCGCCCGCCTCCTGTTTTTTTCCTCTGGCTCGCGGCTCCCGCTGCAGGCCGGCGGGTGCCTGCAGTCGTTCCCTAGGTGCCCTGAGGAGGCTGGCGGCTCCACACAGCGCCCCGCCCCCGACCGTTAGCACCAGGCACAGTCCTCGCACAGCGGCCTTCCCCTGCCTGGCAGGAAAGAAACCTTCCTCTTTCACGATTTCACAGCCCAGAAGTTTGGTTTTAAGACGCTGTTGGCACAGCCATGTTCTGGTATCATCGTCAGGGATTTCATTTAAAAAGAAATGTAAGTTTTATCCCTCGTGGTTGCAGGCGATAGAAGTGTGGCCTCCATCCCTAAATCCTTAGCTCTGATAGCTCAGAAAACACAAAGGACACATTTTTACTTAAAAAAAAAAAAAGACGTGAAAGATAAGATTAGTTCTTTAAAAGTAGCTCTGGGACTTCACTAGGCTTTTGAACATCAGGAGTTGACAATACTGACCAATGGTTGTACAAAGGAGTAAATATCTTAAGTTTCTTTCATCTCTTCCCATCCTAGACCCTGGTAAATATCTTCCAAGTTCCCCCTAGACTATTTGATTCCCACTTGTTTTGTCCATCTCTTTCGCATCACTGTGCAGTTAGTTTTTAGTAGCGGTTCATTAAATAGAGCCTTCGAAGGGAGGATGAATATTTTATGGTTGTGTATCTAAATGTACATGTTTTGTTTTAATCTACTTATATGTTACACCAGGAAAGCTTTAATATAAAAACATAAAATACCATTTTTATAAAGGCACTTGTATCCCTGTTTAGAAACCTTTTAACCAAATAAGAGTTTGCAGTTCTTAGCACACTGGAAAATCACACTAAATGCTTACGTCCAAGTATAGCTATATATATTTTCCTATCTGAATTTGAAGTGTTATATCTTTGAGTCCAATATAATTTTTGTCTGTGGCATGGTAAAATGGAGAAATTTACATCTGTGTACACACACTGCATTTACACACATACATGCTTTCTAAACAGCATAGGGTTTTGATGATGAGTGTCATATTCGATAAAGATGCTGTACTTCCCTGAAGATAAAATTTTTCTTTTTTTTGTTTAGACATTTGCATTTTGCTTTCCCATCAAATTATTCTGCAACATTCACATGTAAGAATGTAACCTAACGTTTAGCTAGGCAATTTCTTGAGGTGATTGGTGCCATCAACTGTTAAAACATAGTCACTGCAGCCATTGTTCCATTGTAGTCGTTATTAATTACAAATGAAATTGTAAGCAAGGAACTTTATAGTAAAAATGAAATTACCAGCATTTTGGGATACAAAGTATAGATAAAAAGCTGAAAGAAAATGCTTTTATTTCTGTCTACCATGTCAACACAGCCTTTGCAATATCTCAGGATAACTGAAAGCTTACTGGTTTCTAAGTAAAGTGGATAATGCTTGCCACTGTGTATATTTTCTTGTGGTCTGTTTTGCCATACTGTATGTTATAAAACTTGGTCTGCTGAATTTACTGTAATCTCTATAGTTCTATATGTATTCTCTATAAATCTGTATTCAAAGGTCATTTACAGCATTATAATTGTCTGAAACTGCTCTCAGGGAGATCATGGTGAGCATGAATGGTTCTGTAAGACTGTGACCCAGTCTGCTAAGGTTAGGTGGTACATGACATTGTAACATTCAAGACAAACTAAAGCCCTTTTGAGGTGGAAAAGACCAATTCTATCGAAAAGGTGTACTTACTTATGTTTACAAACATGGGTCAATTATTAAAACAAGTTGGAACTTTCTTCCTGCATTGTTGTGGCTCAGATTAGAGAAAATATTTAGATTATGGCAATTTTTAAAATTTTTTTTTTTTAGTGGCCATTTGAAACTGCAGTCCGAACTTAATCTTCCCCATACTTAGGAGAAATTGTAAGCCTCTTGTCATAAGCCTGTATTCAGGTGTACGAAAACCAAATGTGAGCTAGGTTGAAAACACTAGAAATTCTCTTACATTTTATAACAGGCTGCTTACAAACAGGATTTGTCAAAGAAGAAAGACTTTTTCAGCCTACGGGCTTTTCACAGTAAAATATCCAAAGTGATAGGCCCTGTTTAGTTGGAGGAGAAATTTCATTTTCCTGAATCTTTGGTTGTGTCTTGTAAGCTCATTTTAGGGAAGGGAAAGTGTAATGTTTAGCTGTTAGCAGTAAAAGGAGTTGGTTACACCCAATGTCAGATCTTGCATTTCTACTTGGAACACCAGTGGGATAATTTACAGATTGTCCTGAATATGAGTGAGTTGTTGCCAAGTTCATTATTTGTATTACTGTTGGAGAAATACTGTAATGTGTAAATAGTTTTTTTTCTTTCATGTTTTAAAATAGCTTGCTTCAGCTGCCTTGTGCAACTTCTTGCTTTTTATTAAAATTTCTGCAATTGAAAGTTGGTTGCGTAAATGATTTTATGAAACTGGGCCTTCCTGAAATGTGTGGGCTTGAGTTGCATACTTGAAATAAGAGCTGTGCTAGTTGAAACAACATGGAAACTGAATCGTGAAATTGTCTTTCAGATCCGTGTTGGTTAAATGAGCTATACAGTCTATAATGATGCACTTTACAGATGGTGCTCTGATCCTCATTATTAGTGTTATGGTCTTCAGTGGGGTTATTTGCATGCATAAATTTAAATACATGTTCAATTGTTTGCAGGATGGGGACCTAAAATACTAGGGTATAGAAAGCATCCTGCATGAATTTGAATAGCAGAAACTTTAATTTGTAGTCATAACACAGTAGCACATTTTTTCTAAAAGTGGTACCTCAAATTTTATATATTTCAAAAAGGAAAAGGAGCCTTGGCTAGAGCTCTCAAGTCTTTGTCCTTAATGTAATCCTAAAACTTAAGACTGCCTCTGATTGTATTGAGCTCTCATTAGGAGATTTTGCTATGTACTTTAATTAAAGTTTTTTCATTTACAGAACTACAAAGCAAAAAGCCAAAATTAGTTTGAAATAAAATGACTTCACAATGCTTTATAGAGACAAACTTCTAAATCTTATTGAAGTCTCTGGTTATGCAGCAACAGCCCTGGTGACACTTGTGATTAAGGTTTCCCTTTTGGAGATGTTATTGCAATGCTGACATCTTGATGAACCTATAGATCAAAGCTTTAGTCTTATTTCTTTAGTATCAAGAGGCAAACTCTTCGAAAATAATCTTAGGTATAGATTCTGTAATTAATAGTTTCTACTAATGAAACTTATTCTGTCCCTCAGTTTTAGAATTAATTACTTTATTCCAAATTCCTTTCAAAAGAATCTGTTGTATATAATTGGATCGTTATAAAAGGAAGAAAAGACAAAAGCATTGCAATTATACATGCATCAGTTGTTGAGAGTAGGTAATATTTTTATGTAATGGAATCTACATTTGTTTTTTGAGGCTTTTTGAGTGTGTTTGCTCAAGTTTCTTAATTAGTTACAAAAAGCTGCAGGTGTATTGGCAAAGACTGTTATTTAGCCTGGGAAATGTTCCAGAAGACAGTTTTGTGTTTTTTAAATGTAAATATTTAGCTGTATTATTACCAGTCACTTTAAAGGTTCCACACTGTGTGCCTGCTGTGTATTTAAACATTGTAGCTTCACTTGAATGACTGACAAAACAAATGATAACATTAAGAGTATAATCTTTACTGTGAGAGGGGATTGAACACTGCTGAATTATTTGCAGAAATGACAAGTGGTATTTGAAGGGGTGTCACCATCATGCAGCTGTCCCTGAGGAATACATAGCCCAGCTTCAGCTGAAATGCTGCAAAAAGTGTTCCATGCTTAGCTGCCACTCTGTAACTTAGTTTAAAATTGGTGTACTTTATCAGAGTTTCTGCAACTGCCAAAATTAAAGCAGTAGTCTTGCTAATCTTTTAACTAGGGATTTTACAAAGCTCTTTAAAGTAATTTTTTTACAGTTTATCAAGCGGTAGACTTAGACTCTTGAACGCCATTAAGGTTTTACAACTTTTGCAGCCAAGAGCCTTTTGTTTTTTAAAAATTTTCATAAAGAAACATTTTGCTCCTAGTCTGACTACAGAAATTTAAATCCTTTTTGTAAAGCACTACCTATAGTTACTGAGCAATGTTCTCGTATGTACTGCACCTGTTCGGTAGCTGACTGCTGATCTCTGTCTGTTCTGGGAGGTTTGGTACAGTATAAAAGAGTTGGTGGAAAGTGGCACCGATAGTTGAAAGGTACAAGGGGTGCAATAAGCTTGAAAGATGTGCTTACAATGGCTTTTTAGTGCTTTTAAGAGATACAGCATGTAGTAAACCTAACTGTAGGTGATTTGCTTATTGTTTTGCTATTTATATTTGTGCAAAGCAGGATGAGAATAGGTGTAAAAACTTCCATGTCTGAATGATACCGGTTTGCAGATAGCTTACACAAAATCTAAGTGTTACAAGGTTAAGACCAACAGAAATCAGTATTATTCATCTTTATGCATGGTCCTGTTGACTTCAATGAGACTGCTAAACTGACTAAATGTTTTTCACCTGAATGAGTGAAGAGCAGTGAAATGGGATAGTATTTTGGGGACATGTGTAATCAATATGGACAATCATATGCACATGAACAGGTAAAATTTTGATAGTCCTAGTTAAATTGAATATCAAAAGCCAAGTAGTAACAATGAACGAGAGAGAAAATTTAGTGGAATGAATTGTTATCGAAGACTATTAGATCTTAAGTTAACATTACAGGTGTAAAAAGAAGTACCTATGTGGCTATGCAATATAGTCTTCAAGTGAATAAAGTTATTCCTACTGGCTGGACTTTTGCATG